GGTAAACGTTCTTAAATTTTATTATCAATGGTAAACCTAAATCATTGATATTAGGAAATTTTGTGTAGAACTACCCTAAACATAGGGTCATTTGTGAATAACTACCCATTTTTTTTATTATTTGTTTAGAACTGCCCGCAAGTTTGGAAAAATTTGGGTAGCACTACCCACTAATGTTTTTCATCCAATTAAAATGTTATTTTGGCCCAATTTTTCACTTTTTTCAATTACAATGGCCAATTAATTCTAAAATAAGCAAAAACCCCAATTCAATTAAACCCCCAAACCTTAGAAATCAAAATCCCCAAATAATACTAAACTCATGAACCCTAAAATGAATTCTAATTAAAACCCTAATTAGGTTAATTAAGGTAAATTAAAACCTTTATACAAATTGGGAGAGTTAATTGGGTGGGAAAAGTGAAAAAAGTGGACTCCGATAACGTCTTAATTGAATGGAAAATGTTACTGGGTAATGCTACCCAAACGTTTTCAAATTTGTGGGTAGTTCTAAATAAAAAAAAAAAAATGGGTAGTTGTTCACAAATGACCCTATCTTTAGGGTAGTTCTACACAAAATTTCCTTGATATTAAGTCAATTACAACATTAATGATAAATTTTAACTAGATATTTAGCCATAGTTAGTTTTTTAAATTTACATTTATTTTAGAAATAAATTTTAATATTTTTTTTATAAAAAAATCCCACAACCAACTCTTCTGCCACCCCATACCCCAACCCCGATGCTCCCTGCTCCCAGGCCGGCACCAGCCGCACCAAGAACCTCCTCCCCTGGCGTCAGCGCCGCATCGACAACCGTCTGCCCTCCCCCTGTCTCGTCCCCCTTGAACCACAAACCCCCTTCCTCGAAACCTCCCCCCTCCCCCATGAAAACCCATTATTCAAACCAGCAAGGTGGATCTAATCGACGGCGAAATTTGCATCGGGATTAATGGGTAGATCGATATAACGAATGAGGAATTTTCGGCTTCGTTTTTTTTTTATTAATTATGAGTTCTCTGATGAAATTTGATGATGTTGCAAGTTAAGGAGAGAGAATAATCGAGTGGGTTACGGGTGGTGCTGGGGTTACGGGTTATGGGTGGTACTACAGGTGGTGCTAGGGTTGGTGGTTGTTGAAATAGAGGAGGTAAAGGGAGGGGGTTGCCAGCAATGGGGAGGAGAAGGGAGAGGGTGGCCAGAATTGGGAAAAAGGAAGGGAGCTGGTGGTCGGGGTTGGAATTGGGTAGGGGGCCGATGATTGGGGTTGTCGGGATCTGGGTTTGGGAGATGTCGGGATGGAGGAATTGGGGAAAGAGAGAAGGTGGGGCGAGGGAGGTCAGGCGTCGCCGGCCGAGGATGGGGAAGGTCGGGCGTCTTCGGCAGAGACATGGCCGTCGACAGGGGAGGGGCTGCTGGTGGCTAGGTTGGGAGGGGGAGGGGTTTGATTTTTTTTTTTTTTAAAAAAAAATATTTTTAAAATAATTTAATTATTTAAAAAATATAAAACCAACTATAGTTAAGGATTTTTATTAAAAAACCACTTATCAATGAAAATCAATAATTGAGGTTTACCATTGATAATAAAGTTTAAGAACGTTTACCACTTAGAAAATCAAAAAGTTGGAGTTCACCAAAAAGAATTTCCCTTTACTATTTTTCTAGAATGGAGAAGTGAATGTATTTCGGAGAAATTAAAAGTATTTCAAGACCGAAAACAAAGAATCGACAACGTAAGTGTTTTCTATGTTAGAATATTGGATAGCTCAAATTGGAAAATTAAATGTCAATTTAAAATTATGTATTTGTGAATTAAATTGTTATTAGGTGAATTTCGGCTAGTAAATTTAATTGACCATCAATGTTCATTTCAGATGAACTTCATGTTCAGTTGTAGAACATTAATGTTCAAATTATATTACTAATTTCGAAGACATATTATCATTTATCATTATGGAATTGAAGCATCAATTATAAATTAATATTACTTATTTCATTAATTAAAAATGTAATTTGGAAAATTTTGGCAAGCAAATTTAAGTTATCGTAAATGTACATTTCAAATACGAAGTAGAATTTCCTACCCCAAAAAAAAAAAAATTCAATTAATATTATTATTTGTAGAAGGAAAAATCAATTAATATTATTATTTTGTCAATTAAAATATTTTTTGAATTTGGTGAATATTGACTATTTATTTAATTTATCATAAATGTTCATTTTAGTTTGACTTCATGTTCATTTGTAGAAAGATAAATATTCAAATTAAAATTAGTAAAATTTAAGACAAAATAAATTTTTTATATAGCTCTAGTAATTATGATCTTAAAATGTTATTGCATTCATTTTACATATAAATATATATTCATTTAAATTTTTTATGTGTTCATTATTCTCTTTAAGTTAAATAACATGTTCATTCTCATATTGAAAGATGTTCATTTGAAATTTAATACTTGTTCATTATCCTATATATTGAAAGATGTTTATTTGCAATCTTATAATATATTCATTCTCTTACCTAAAGATTTTCATTAATTTTAATACTTGTAATTTATCACATTAAAAAATGTTTGCTTGATGTGAATTTTAGTGCTTGTTCATTACCAATATTGAATATTGATCAATTCAAATTTAATTTGTTCATTCTTGTATTGAAAGATGTTCATTTGACTTGTAATACTTGTTCATTTATATTTTAATACTAGTTCATTTTCATGTTTAACTATGTTCATTTTAAAAAACGTGTTCATATTTGTATTTGTAAATACTCATTTAATTGTCTAGTTTTGTTTATAGTGTTTGATTTTACTACCAATTATTTTTTACAAAAATTAAATCTCCCGTTAAACAATTTAATTAATTAAGAAAGGTGAAGACAGCGATATACATATTGAGAAAAGATGTGTATCAAGAAAAACACACAAAACATCATAATACTATGTACAACAAGGAGAATGGTTCTATATACCTTTTATTTTTACCAAATATATTAAATGACAATGTTCAGTTTTTAATTCTGATAAATGATTATGTTAATTTTTTCTTTGATTATTAAGGTACTTTACTACTATAATCCATATCTTTAACTCTTTATAAAGGGGGAAGTTGTCAAATATAAAAAGAATAGTGATATGAGTGTGTAGTCAATGAAAAACACTGTTCATAAGGTTGGCAAAATGTTAGAGTTTGGGTTTCTTGCATTTGAGTGTAATTTCATTTCATGTGTTGAGTCACCAAATTTTTTTGACACAATTCCTCATTTTCTTCCGGTTTTTCCTCGTCACCACATATCTAACGCACACTCTCTCTTTAGGAAATTTTGTGTAGAACTACCCTAAAGATAGGGTCATTTGTGAACAACTACCCATTTTTATTTTATTTGTTTAGAACTACCCGCAAGTTTGAAAACGTTTGGGTAGCACTACCCGGTAATGTTTTCCGTCCAATTAAGACGTTCTGGAGCCCACATTTTCACTTTAGGGTTCATGAATTTAGTAATATTTGGGGATTTTGATTTCTATGGTTTAGGGGTTTAATTGAATTCGGGGTTTGGCTTATTTTGGCATTAATTGGCCATTGTAATTGACAAAAGTGAAAAATTGGGCCAAAGTAACGTCTCAATTGGATAGAAAACGTTATGAGGTAGTACCACCCAAACGTTTCCAAACTTACGGGTAGCTCTAAACAAATAAAAAAAAAAGAGTAGTTATTGATTATCGAACGAATAAAAAAAAATAAAAAAAAATGTGTCTCCCCAAAAACCAAACCCAGCGATGAATACTTTTCACGTCATTGATTATCGAACGAAGTGAAAGTGTGGAAAGTCTAGTGATGCGGTCGTTTTTTATAAATACCTTCTTTCTCTTTTTGAAAAACTTCTCTATTTATGAAAATGTCCAGTTCAAATTAGTTTGGTCCATGATAAGGGTCCAATAATGGTGTAGTTGGATTGAGCTCGAAAAGACCTTTCCAACGATATATTATAAGCCCAATTTCGATGAATAATGAGGAAGTTATGACCAAAATACTAAACTAGGCCCAAACCGGATTTTACCTACGACCCAATGATAATGAGGAGGGTCCAAAGGTTGAATTCCATTACTAATTAGGATTAATTAGAATCTTCTATAAGTTTCTAATAGATCTTGATTATCTTTTCTCAAAGAATTTGAAATAGAATAAAAACTTTCCTTTTTTTAAAAAACTTTTTTTTTAAATCCTAATTCTATTCGAATTTAAAGATGTTTAAAAATGGTCAGATATTATATTCATACCTCATAATATTTACCCAAATATTATATGGTTGAGTATATCTTGAAATTATCTCCAATCATAAATTATAATATTAATTTCGAGCTATAACTTTGATCTTTATTGTTTAGTGACATGATATGATTTGTTATTAATCATGTTAGTATCATGCCTAGGATCTTGCTATTATTATTAAGCTTTATTGAGATTGAAATTGTGATTATAATTGTTGGGTTTATGATAATCATTAATATTATATTGCTTGATATATATTATTGTTATTGCTTGATCACGCCTTTTAGGCATGTTTAAAGGGAATTTGTACTTGAAATCACGCCTAATTAGATAATTAAAAATTTGGTTTAGGCTAATTTGATTTTAATTCAAGTGATCGCCAATAATAGTTTTATTTGTGCATGATTTTTCAACCAACATATATTATACAGGTTTAGGGCTAATATTATAAAAGAGGCCTATTTTATAGGGCGGGTTCTTTCTCTTTTAGATTAAATTCATACCCTCATCTCCAAATATCCAGTCATGGCCATACCACTATGGAGTTAGCGTTCTCATGGATCGTGAAGGGGTGTAACCTTCACCCTGTGAACGGTTTACAAGTTTTTAAAACTTGTGGGCGACTCTTTTGCTCTAGATTCTTTCCCTTTGGATGCCACCATACTTAAATGTATGATTACAGTGGATTCAAGTTTGGGATGCTTGAAATATTTCCTACAGTCAGTTTTTCACAAATGAACCTATGTCTAAATAGTTCTACACAAAATTTCCCTCTCCTAATTCAATCCATACAAATATACAACACATTATTCTCTCCTCTACCAATAATATGTTGATACTTGGTAGGGAGGACCTGTGTTCGATCTCCCGTAACAATAATTGAGAAAGGACTGAAATCTAACCACCCAAACTGATCCCGAATCCAGATTAGCCCAAAAAGGTGAACCGGATGGAACACCAAAATAAAATTGTTCCCTCCTCTCCTCTTAATATTTTTGTTCTTCATTGAAGCAGTTTTTGAGCTTTCCCTCCGCCAATTAAGCGGTTGCTCAAGTAAGTATTTATTTGTTGTAATTATCGAATATCAATTTCGGCAATCTAAGGTTCATTATTAATATAATTGTCAGTTGGGTATTTCCCGATCTGCGCCAAATTTGGGTTGTTCACTATCAAATTTGGCAGCTAAATTTGCTTTTTTCTCACCTTCTCAGGCATGTATGTGGCAGTTTCAACGGTGGCGGCAATCCAAAATCAGTCTTAGACTGAGCTTCTTGGGGTCAGGGGTCAGCTTTTTTTCTCCTCCTCCCCTCCTCCTTTATTTTTATTTGTGTTTTATCATTGATTTACAATATTTAATTGTTTGTTCTATTTTGTTCTGTTTTTGTTTTGTTTCTGGAGACTGGAGTATTATGGGGATGTGGGATTATAGAGATTGAGTATGTTCAGCACGATTCGATTTTTTAATTTTTTTGTTGTAATTATCGAATATCAATTTCGCAACCTAAGCTTCATTGTATAATATACTTATGAATGTAATCAATTTAGGTGAAACATTGCACTATAATTAAATTAGTGAAGTTATATCAGATGAACCGAGTGCTTTCCAAATTTCAATACTTTACAGCAATATTTAATTCGGTCTTTGTAGCCTAATTTGATAGTTGAGTCAGTTTAAGATATTTTCTAAGATGGATTAATGAGCAAATGAGCAATTACTAAAATTGCTATATTGTACGAGTGATTTTTGTAATATTCCTAACGGAAACGAATTGCATGTGATTTGAGAGTTGAGGTCTACAAGGCTACAAAAAACCCCATTTGTTTTTGTTAATTAAGCAAATTTTAAATAGTTTCTTTACTTTGAATCTTGGTATTAATTTAAGGGCTAATTCAAGCAAACTATATGAATGTTACATTAGAGGTTCCTAAAAAATGAAAAAAAAGTTACATTGAAGTCCTGGAAAACCCCATATGTTTCTCTTAAATATTTCCTTCCTTAGCTTTGGTTTTCTCTGTTGGGAGAAAAGCATCTACAAGCTAACTAATTTAGGAATTCTTAAAATGCGACATCTACATTAAAACTCATTAACAAACTTCTTGATATGGTGTGTTAGCTTCATCTTGCATTTTGAGGTTGGAAGAAGATAAACCAGTTTGATTATGAGGTATGCATATTTCAATTACATTATCCCTCTATTTTGATAATTTATAGACTATTGAATAATTTAGAGTATGAGACAGTTTTTCATGTTTGCTTTGCTTAATTGATAAAGGTGAAGGTGTAAATAGGTGAAGGTGTTTGGTTAAGTAAAGCAAAGTAATTAGAAGCAAATTAAAACTCGGTAAAGAGGAAATCCAAACAGTTATTCCTTGGTGACGTTTGGCTTATATAGCAAAACAATACACTAAGTGACTTGAAGTGACGGTTAAGTCGGTTTTTCCTTGCAATGTTTGGCTTGGTTTTTTGTCAGTCACTTGGTGACTTTTGGCCAGTCACTTAGTGATTTTTGGCATGATTAAAAAGCTTCTATAAATATGTTAATTAACATATGATGAGGGGAGGAAGGAAAATGGGGTCAGTTACTTTCGTAACTATCATATTCTCATTTATATTAGTTTTGCTTGTTTTAATTATCATCATCATAAATTATCCAAAGTTTGATTGCATTAGATCACAAACATACTACACACTATTGTGATTGTCTTCGTTGTATCTCCTAGTAATTTCGTGATACCCGGTGTGTAAATTAAGGGTCGAAATATTACTTTGGGAAACTAATTTCGTTCAGGCCTCGAAGTATTAATTTGTCCAATTTCGTGTCATTTTTGTGACCCGGTAAACCAATTTTCCCAACATAGACAACTTTTATCATTAAGATGAGGCATGTTTTATTATCTACAATTATTCTTAAAGTTTATATTGAGATAAATATTATAAATCTCATATGACTGCTTTTCTTTGTGTATAAATCACATACATTAGTCAAAGAGAAACATATAGATATGGTGAAAGTACAATGTTGCTTATTTTGCTAGATTTTTGTAAAATATTACGATCATAGGTTTGGGGATTTAGAGAATTAAGTTTTGAGCTTCTGAATTGTTGATTTGCTGAATTTTTGATGTCATAGGTTTAGTTTTTGTTAATGGCATTTGGCAAAATTGGATTTTAATAAGTATGGAAGCCATCGATTTATGCTTACCCAGCATAAATTTGTCAACTTTACTAGCTAAACCTGCATTTCCAAGCCTAAATTTGAGACCTTTTGATCCATCATTGCTTAGAAAGTCTAGAATGTGTTGGAATCGTTTGCAAGGCTTACAAAATATTGCATCATATGAGAACAATAAGTTGGGTTGATTGTGTGTTGTGAATAATGAATTGGGTCTATGGATGACGAATCGAATCTGGGGAATGAGGGGTCTATGGATGACGAATCGAATCTGGTGAATAATAAATTGTTGGATTTTTCTTTTGTTTGGTGCTTTTATAGGAAGTTAATTTAATCAATGTTATTTTGTGCTGACTGCTGAGTTTGAGTTAATTTGATTATGTTATTAGAATTTATAGTATGTAATATGCTCATTTATTTTGGACTTGATGTTTTCGACATTGATGTGTTTTGTTGTGCGGGATATACAACAAGTGAGAACGGACACAAGCCGGAGGAGGAGAATGGGAATGCTATGGTGGATGCCAAAACCGAGGTAGTGGTTGAGAGTATTGAAGCGTCTGTTGATGATCAGGCACGTGGTGAGGAAGGCAATAAAGAGGTGGTTCCTCAAGAAGTCAAGAGGTTACTGAAACTGAACCTGTGGTTACTGAGGGTGAGGAGAAAATTGATGCCAAATATGGTGATTCGGAAGAGAGGGATGCTGAGATACCTTCATCTGATAATGCTCCGCTGAAAGGTGCGGAAACGACTGCCACTGAAGGTGCAGAACAAGGTGATGTTGTGACTTAGCAACAATATCCTGATTCTGGTAATAAAAGCATGACTTGGAGGATTGAAATTCCGAATTATAAGGTGACTTTGAGTAGCTTTTCTTTGTAGCATTTATTGCTTACTCCGTATTATTTGACCGGAATGAGTGATCATGTTTTAGTATTACTGGAATGAGGTTGGTCATTATTTCTTAATTTTACCTAAAAGAGTATTCAACTTTGATAGGATTAATTGAGAGTAGTTATTTGTTCCCAAAAAAAAAAAAAAAAAAAAAAATTAAGAGTAATTAACTTGCCGATGAATTTCATTGATGATCTTACAATGTTTCAGGTTGAAGTTCTTATTGGAAAATATGGAGATATGATAAAGTATCTACAGCTGAATTCAAGGGCCATGATTCAAATCACAAGAGATGTCGAAGCTGATCCACGATTTGCAACTAAGCCGGTTGAACTTGAGGAGACACTTTAAAGTTTAAACAAGGCCGAGAGTCTGATAAAGGATGAGGTATGGTCGTTGCAAAGATCATTATGTTTTCCTTTGTTTTTTTAGAAATTTTATTGATCAATTAAGCTTTTTAATGAAAAGCATGGTAAACTATTCTGTAATCTAGCAGTTTGTGTGAGCTCAAAGTTGGATCTGTAGAAAGTTGCATTTAGTCATAATAATACACCTACACCGGCATTACTATATTCAAAGAAAGCACAATCTTTAGGCTGATAAGGAGGCTTACTGGCTGATCTTTAATATGATAAGTGATGACCACTGACTGTTGTCCAGTAAATTAGTAGCGGAGACTTTTTCGCAAGACTTTGAATTTTGTCCATCTAAAGCGGTAAAGCCAGAGAATGGTTGATCCTCACTCCTCAGCTGTTGGAAATTGACAATAAATGAAAGTTTCAGACTAATTGTAGTGTGTGCATGTGTCTAATTGCTATGGATCCCCTCCATGCGCTCCCTCTCATATTTGTAGGGTTTTTTTTCTTTTTTTTTTTTTTTAAAAAAAAAACTCATATTTTTTTTTGCGTGCTGACGCTGGAGGCTCACCATCCCTTGTGGCTAGGGGTTTTACTACTACTATTACTTCTGGATCATTAGAAAATGAGATACCTATTCCCGTTGAAGAAGTAATTTAAACTTTACACCTTTTTTTTTCTGAGTAATTCTTAATTTTATAACTACTTTAAGATGAATAATCTATGTAAAAGAAATTCAGTTTTGAGTAGCCAAAACTCGAAAGCTAAGATTGGGAGATGATAGCCTGTGAAATCTATGTAAATATCAAAATCACTTAAATCATAATGGAAAACATATTCATTGTGCACTGCAGGGATATAAATATTATTTCCAGCTACTTTATCCTTTTCTTCCAGCTTTTCTTCTTTGCCACATGTCCCTTTCTCCTCTATTATTTCTTCTCAATCACTAACTTTTCAAAATTGCCGATTTCAGTCTAAAATCCATTGAAGAATCTAAATTTTGGGAGAAAATGGTTACCAAGTATGACTTGGCAGAAATGAAGTGATTAGAGAGTCTCAATTACCAAGAAGTGGTTATTCTTACAGGTCAAGGTAATTTCAATACAAAACATTTCTCTACTTATAACCCTTGCTTTATTGTTTGCAGTTTTACATTTGCTTTGAAATTTCAGATACTAGCGTCTATTAAGTTTCATTCATTCTATTTCCTATTCCATTTGATTATTTGAAGGCTTTTCTTTATAAAATATACTATTACTGGGGTGTAATTAGTTTAAATTAGTGCTTTGTAAAAACATATAATGTAAAAACATAAGAAGTGCAATTCATATTTAATTGGACTTGCTCCATTTTTTTGAATGGTGTAGAGTGTAAGGCCCTATTTACTTCACTTTATTTTTGCTAAACTGAAATTATTTTTAATGAAACAAAATTATATTTGCTGAACTAAATTATTTTTACTGAAACAAAATTATATTTGTTGAACTTTAATTATTTTTACTAAACTTAAATTAACTTTACTGAACTTAAATTATTTTTGCTGAACTGAAATTATTTTTACTGATTTTCTATTATAATTCCTCTTTAAGATAAATGAATTTTACTGAACTGAACTTATTTTTACTAAATTGAAATTATTTTTACTGAACTGAAATTAATTTTACTGAACTAAACTTATTTTTACTGAATTGAAATTATTTTTACTTAATATTATTTTTTTAAGGTGAAGTGAACAAGGCCTAAGTCTTATATGGCTATATGATTCTTTCACTCTTTCTTTGTCTCTATCTCTATATGGGGCTAATTGCTCCCTGCTTTGTTTGGGAAAAACAAACTTATTTTAAGTTATTCTGTATTTTCAGGATTTCAAGCGCTCGAGTTAGATTTTCTGGAAAATTGGTGGATTGGTTGTTTGCTGATTGTTTTTTATTATTCATTCTTTGAAAATTTCAGTCATTGTTGCTTAACGGTTGAAAGATAACAAATTAGGAAAAAGGGAAATGCATTTAACAAACAAGTTGACTTTGGTGTAGAATGAAATTGGAATATAAACTAAGGTCAGATTTTTGTCTCTGGAGCTATATGTCAATATAATTATAAAAAAAGTACAGAACCAAATGTGATTGATATAATTATATTTGGTTGGCTTTTGATTCAAGGAGTTCGGTTTCAATAATTATATAAGTTTAAGGATCTCTTGGGAATGTCAGCTTTTTATTAAAGAATTTCTGTTTTAGTAAACATTATGATGCGTTTGGTGATTGTATCAGAACTTTTGGTGATTTTTATGGAGGAATTGGGGTTAATGTTTCAGCTGTGACTTTCAGTAACATAGATTTTACTTCATCCATCCCCACTTCACATTGGAATGGTGGAATTCTTTGGGTAATCCTTTTGTTAAACGAGATTATCTAAATAACAGTAGTTTGAGTAAAAAAAAAAAAGTAATGATGTTGTATAGATAATGATTTGGCAGATCTGTGACAGAGAAACCCAAACTTCACATATGGAAGAGCAAATGAAGAGAGAGAAAGAGAAAGAGAGAGAGAGATAGAGAGAGAGGGGGGGGGGGGAGAGGGAGGGAGAGGGGGAGGGGGAAGGGGAGAGGGAGGGAGAGGGGGATGGGGAAGGGGAGGGAGAGGGGGAGAGAGAGAGAGGGGGAGGGGGAGGGGGAGAGGGAGAGGGAGAGGGAGAGAGAGATTATCAACTTTTGGATCAAAACACTCAATAAATATTTTTTCTTTCTGAAGCAAGCCGAGAATAAGTTAGAAGTAGAAAAATTCCAGAGTACAACTAAGTTAGGGAGGTCTATCCTCCATAATTACATTAGATAAGAAATTCGAGTTATTGTTCTCTGAATCAGAACAATCAGTAGAGTCACTTAGTCTACACTTCTAGGCTAAAAGATCTTCTGCTCTATTGCATCCTCTGGGATTATAGCTAATCTGAATATTAGGCAAAACCTCCAGCGGGTCCCTGCATTGTTTTACAATAAGCAATTTAGCATCTTTAATTAGATCCTCTTGCAGCACCCTTTTAATTGCTTGTTGCGAGTCAAAGCAAATTTGGATGGTGGACTAGCCATTTGATTCAATAATAGAAAGCCCAATATGAATTGCCTTCAGCTCTCCCTAAATAACCGATGGAGACCGTGACTTTTGTTGGTAACAAAGGTACCATTTGAGTCACGTATAATCCCTAAGGAGACATCACAAATTAGTTTCCACCGGTTGTGCCTCGGTGGTGACCAGGATAAAGATTAGCTAAGGTTGGTGTTTGGGAGGGGCAGGTTGTCATCCCTTGAAGTGTGGAATCCTCAAGCTTTAGCATCAAGGATGAGCTTATCTTGCGGTTTTTAAGATTGGTAGAAGATTCCTTCATTTTTATTAATTTAGAGTTGTTTTATATGTTCATTGATGAGCTCTTTTCTTAGGGACAAGCAAAGGTTTGGCTTGGGGGAGTTTGATGTGTCTATTTTATATAGTGATTTACCCCAGTCCCTTGGTCATAATTAGTAGTGTTTTTGGCTCTTTTGAGCCACTTTTATTACTAATTGGTGTTTTCTAGTGTTTTCGTAGTTTTGGTTAAGTTTTGTAGGAAATTGCACTTTTGGAGCATTTTCCCGGAGTTTCGAGGAGCGACAACGAGCATTGGAGGAACACGACCACTCATTGAAGCCCAAGACCGGTTAGAAGAAGCAAATCGGTGATTAAGGGCTCGATACTTGAGATTCCGAGGCGTTTTGGACCGAGTTCAAAGACCCGAAGAGGAAGTCCGATTGGGCCGAAGGTTCGAGGCCTTATCGAAGTCCAAAAGGAGCCCAAGAGAGCCTCGCCCGAAGGCGCGCCCCGCCGGGTGGGGCGAGCAAGGGGAAGGAAGGCCTCGCGCCCGGAGTACGCTCCCGACCGGGCGCGAGAGGTGGTTTCAGCGCAAAGTGGCGGGCCCGGCCGGGCGGTGCGGCGCCCGACCGGGCGCGTGTGTTTGAGGGGATGTTTTCCCGATTAATTTCGTTAGGCGTAGAACTCCTTGCTTAGTATTAATGTAATTTAATTAAGCAAGTTTAGTACGCTTTCTTTTACTTATTTCTTTACATACTCTTACTACTTTTCTCTCTCTACTTAGATTTTCTCTCTCTAAACTTTTACTCTTTCTTTTGTTCCTAAACTCCGTTTGTAATTCCGTCGATTCGGTACGATTTCTATTTTATTAATTTTAGTATTTTCATTCTTTCAATTCCTTATGTCTTGTTTAATTAATTTGATGTGTTTAGCTTTAATCATGTCTGAGTTGTTTCCTTTCTAGGGTTTATGGGGATCTAATAAATAATATGAAGGGGTAATTTATGATTGTTGATTATCAATGCTTAATTAATTTCCTATTGATTGTATTAATGCTATGCAATTAGATTTGGCCAGATTTAATTGTATGAGTTTAGCAATATTGATTCGAGATTCGAGAGATGAGAATTGATGTTTAGGCTTAATTTCAATAGGCAGACTAATTTATAAATGGTTAGGTCGAGATTCGAGAGATGAGATTTAATACCGGTAAATTAACTCTGTGATTGTAATACGTAGCGAAAGCCCTTTGTGATCTGATTAATATTGTATTAATGATTGATTGTTATGTTTTGCCCTAGAATATTGTTTATTAGTGAACCTATGCCATAGGCTTTTATTATTATTTGATTTCTCCCTAATTTATTCATTTTACTCATATTCTTCGTAGTATAGACTTTAATCACAAAAATATTGGTTACTTTGATAATGTAGATTATAATAATGAATTGGGAGTAGAAAGACTAGTTCCCTGTGGAATCAACCCTACTTCCCTATCTGCATAAGTTAGAGGACTTAGGTAATTACTTTTGATTAGGTGATACGACTTCAGCCTCACCCCAATAATAAAATCAAGCACAAACGATTCAAGGCAAATCTAATGAATTCCCAAGCTTTAGCATCAACTGAAAAATCGCACCTGCGATTTTCTTTCTGCTGAACTGAACGTCGCGCGCAACTTCTGAAGTTGCGCGTGACATACGAGCGCAACTCAAAAAGATGCGCGCGCCTGGCCAACGCGACCTACTGAGTTGCACGCGGATACTGGTCACTAAAATGACCAGTATCTGGATTTTGATCCGTTTGATCAATTTTCAGGTTTTTGCTCGTTATTAGACGTAATAGCGTGCGAATTATCAATTTTTTTTTTTTAAATTGCTTTGCATTGGTAGTTTATTATCTTCTTTGATAGATTTTTGCATCATCTTTGCATGCACACCGTGCTTTGTGCCTTCCCCAAGCATACGTTTTGAACGTTTTTTGTAAGCGTGCCTTAAGACGTTCTATGATGGTGCTTTACGTAAAAGCACCCATAGACAGGTTTATCATTTTACTGTACTGACGATATAAGTGTCCTGGTTTTCTTCATTTTCACGTATGAAGCAAAAGGAAGGCGTTTCCATGCAGCGTAAAAATGCAAATTGCGTAGCGTACAGCGTAAAATTGTACGGCGTAGGTGTTGCGTAAAATTTCACCTCAGCCCAAGCGTAGACACCTAAAAATGTCTCCCCAAAACCAAACCCGTTGATGAACACCTTTCACCGCCATTATTGGTCGGGTTCTGTATTTAATCTTTGGAGTGCTTAAATCCATGTTCTACCTAATATATTTCATGAACCAATCCAATTTCTAGCTCATTTCCCTAAACCATAACTTACTTTCCACTTTCCGTATCCACATCTCAAAACCGAGCTGAACTGATTTTATAACTACATGATTTTGATCCAATTACTATTTGGTTAGATAGGCCTTTTAATAAGCTTTCCAACCATATATCATAAGCCCAATTCCGATTTGAAACAAAGAAGATATGAGCCAAACACTAAACTCGGCCCAAAACCGACACCCTTCTACTAAAATGATCATATCTTAAAATATACAAATAATTTTGACCTGATTCAAATTGGGTTGTAAATTATACTTGATAATATTTTCAATGATATATTATATGTCTTATTCCGAGTTATGGATCAAAAGTTATGATGGTTTTAAAAACGGGTAAAAACCTAAAATCATCGCGCACAGTGCAATTCCACCGTGTCACGGGAAATTGCACCGTCTTATGGTGGGAATCCCTGTGACACGGTGCCCTTGCTGTGACACGAGGCTATTATGTGTCCCTTTTTCTTTCCTCGTACCTAAACAACTCCCGCGTCACGGCATTTTCCACCGTGTCACGGGAATTTGCACCGTCTGACGGTGGGATTCCCCGTGACACGGTGCTGTTTCCGTGTAATTTCCACGTTTCCCATACCGTGACACGGTGCAATGTACCGTAACACGGTGGATACTGCCGCGTCATGGTACCCGTGCTAATATCATGATTATTATTATTATTTGATTGACTAACGCTATAATTGTTAAATTGCTTCCAATATTAATGTTTATTCTATTATTATTTATTGATCACCATATTGCATGTTTAAAGGGAATATGTAATTGAATATAACGCTTAATAAGATGATTTGGACAACCGGTTTAGGTTCCTTTAATCTTGTTGTTAAATCATGTGATCACCAATATTTTAGAATAACGTGTTCATTAAAATTCAACCAATTTAGCTTAATAATAGTTTGGAGCAAATTGAATATTTTGTTTGTATGCCTTTGAGATCGCAAGAATACTTTTCATTATAAGAATCGAGTTGAGGCCAATACGGGCGAATGTGACTCCATGACTCACTTCGTACCATCATTCCCGATCCTCCTTTCGTGGTTCCGAACCATATGGAGTCAGTAATCTCATGGATTATGAATGGGGTGTAACCTTTACGGGTCAATCGTTGTTGCCTATCGTTTACCCTTAATCGTGGTTGCCTTAAATGATCCATGAACAGTTTACAAGTTCCTTAAAAACTTGTTGGCGGCTCCCTACTTTGCTTTACCCCTAATCGTTGTCCCTAATCGTATGTCAATTCCCGCTTCCTATGAGTGCTAAGCATATTCACACCATGCTTTAACGTAGGTGCACTTCAAGCGACGCCTACAATTTGGCGACTCCACTGGGGTGGATTCTTGGTTATTTATCGATTTGAGTGATCGGTATTTAATTAAGATGAGTGGATGAGACTTGAAAGATTCTTGAATCGTATTCCTGTGATTAATTTGGCATTTTGCATAAGACGTTTTAACGTCGCTATTAGGTCTATCCCGTAGGAAAAAATTGGATAACCTGATTGTGAATGAAGGAAAAAAAGAGGCACCAGTAAGATTTCCTGACTGCCGCGCCACGGTAGGTACTGCCGTGTCACGGGGCAAGCCACCGTCACACGGTGGTGAGCACCGTAACACGGTACATTCTGCCGTGTCACGGCAGTCCTGAAATATTTCCGGTGGCTTTATTTTACTTTTTCACAATCGGCTTCCTTCGATTTTTCTGAAAAAAACGTATGTGTTCTACATACGTCTTAGCCCCGGTGGATTTAAGCTCTATCAACCCAAAAACGCTCATGGCAATAAGGGTTCATCCGAGTTATTAAATCCACCCAAATCATGGAGTCGAGTTCGATTTCATCACGAAGTCGCGGAGCTGCCCGATGGCATACACCCTCAAGGGAGGCTGTCTTGCTAACGCGTCCAAACTCTTAACCATGGTATACCCTTTTGACACCAAACAAACCTGACCGTAGTGGAACATAGAACTTGACCTTAGGTTGCTAACTCTTCTTTTCATCATTGTGCCTACGTGTTCTATGTGTGTATATTTGATCGTTTTGATCTAACCTTAACGATCTTTCTTTGTCTATGGTGGATTATTTTATGACTAACAATTGCCAATGGACCGTACTCACTTAGTAATCAACGAAAAAAAAAAATTGCCGTGCCACGTCAGCTTCCACCGCGCCACGGGAAAGCTCACCGTGTCACGGCAGTGTCCACCGCCGCACGGTGGATTTCAGCAAAAAAAGAAGAAAAAAAA